GAATTAATAGCCTGCCATGTGGTTTGGTAACATCAGCACTGTGCCTTTTTACTTGTCAACCTTGGGCTTGTCAGTCTCAGCCGCCCGCAGGTGTCTGAGTGAAGAAAAGCCTCTAGCTTCCATGGGCCAGGAGCAGGAAGCAGAGCTAAAGCCCAAGGTTGAGGGGCTTTCACCAAGCCCTTAGAGCCTGGCACTTTGAACTCAGACTTAAAGACTCCAAACTGTAAGAGAATAAATTCCTGTTTGTTCAAGCATCCCATTTGTGGTATATTCCTGTCAGAGTGGCACTCGGTAACCAGAACACATGGAATGTACAATGTATGAATCTAGGAATATTGGAAGTTGTCAAAAATGAAATGGAACACATAAAGATTGATATGCTAGGCATTAGTGAGCTGAAATGGACTGGTTTTGGCCATTTTGAATTAGACAATCATATGGTGTACTATAGGAGCTCTGGTAGCATAGTGCCTAAGGCACTTGACTGCTAACCAGAAGACTGGCTGTTCAAACCCACCATCCACTCCTTGGAAGGAAGGTTGGGCAGTCTACTTCCTTAGGAATACTGCCTTGGCATCCCAAGGAGGGGTTGCTTGAGTCAGGGCCAACTCAACAGCACATAACAACAATAACTATGATGTACTGGGCCACGAATGACTAATTGAAGAGGAATGGTGTGGCATTCATCATCATAAAGACCATTTCAAGATCTATCCTGAAGTACAATGCTGTCAATGATAGGATAATATCCATATGCTTACAAGGAACACCAGTTAATACTACTGTGGTGCAGTGAATTACTTGGTGTGGCTTTTCTAGCCATAGTCTTTGTAACTCCCACCAGATTCTTGGGTAGGACCATGCCAATAAGGTGTATAGAACTCCGATTTTGGGATTGGTTAGTTTTGTCACTGTGCCAGGCTTAAAATGAGCCTTCCTAGAGACAGAGAGGGAATCTCATTGCTGTTGAGAGAGAAGAGCTAGAGGTGAAATATAGTGCATCCTAGGACTGAGATCCCTGCACTGGAATTCCTTGGCAGAGATGTGTGGCAGAGAGATTCACCCCAGTGGAGAGAGATGCCAAGCAGGGATGTATCTATCAGCAGAGCTAAAAGAGCTTTATAACTCTTGCCTGAGCAGGGCAGGGGCCAGAGCAAGAGGCCAAGGGTCAGAAAGATGAGCCCAATGACATAGCAGAGGGGAGACTGTCCTGATCGAAGAATTGTGTCCTGAGAGCATTCTTGAACCTAAATTGTAGCCTGTTACTTCCCTAACAAACCCCATAATCATGAGAACTGTCTGTGAGTTTGCATGGCCATTACAACAAATTATCAAACCCAGCAGAGAAGTAGTGAGCACCATGAGATGGATAGTTGACATCAGAATTGCTAAAAGGCTGGAGGGTTACGGTATGTCTGGCTTCATAGGAATAAGCCTTGGGTGGTTAATAGTGATTCTGTCTTCCTCTTGTGAAGGTAGAGGAGATCAGAAGATGTCACCTCCAAGTCCCTTTTGCAACAACTATTACTCAACTTTATACACCAACCACCAAAGCCAAAGATACAGAAACTGAAGATTTTTACCAACTTCTGCAGTCTTAAATTGATCAAACATGCAATCAAGATATGTAGATTATACTGGTGATTGGAATTAAAAAGTTGGAAACAAAGAAGAGTTATCAGTAGTTGGAAAATATGGGTTTGGTGATAGAAATGATGCTGGAGATCACATGATTGAATTTTGCAAGACCAATGACTTATTCATTGCAAACACCTTTTTTCAACAACATAAACAGTGGCTATACACCTGGACTTCACCAGTTCGGGAATACACAGGAATCAGATCAACTACATCTGTGCAAAGAGGCAATGGAGAAGCTCAATATCTTCAGCCAAAGCAAGGTCAGGAGCTGACTGTGGAACAGACTATCAACTGCTCATATGCAAGTTCAAGTTGAAGCTGAAGACAATAAAACATGTCCACAAGAGCCAAAATATGACCTTGATTATATCCCACCTGAATTTAGAGACCATCTAAAGAATAGATTTGACACATTGAACACCAATGGCCCAAAACCAGAGGAATTGTGGGATGACATCAAGAACAGCATCCATGAAGAAAGCAAAGGGTCATTAAAAAGTCAAGAAAGGAAGAACAGACCAAAATGGATGTCAGAAGACACTCTAAAACTTGCTCTTGAATGGAAAGTAGCTAAAACAAATGGAAGAAATGACAAGATTAAAGAGCTGAACAGAAGATTTCAAAGAGCAGCTCAGGAAGAAAAAGTCAATTATTATAATGAAATGTGCAAAGACCTGGAGTTAGAAAATCAAAAGGGAAGAACACACTCAGCATTTCACAAGCTGAAAGAACTGAAGAAAAAATTCAAGTCTCGATTTGTAATTTTGAAAGATTCTATGGGCAAGATATTGAATGCTGAAGGAAACATCAAAAGAAAATGGAAGGAATACACAGAGTCACTGTACTAAAAAAATTGGTAGATGTTCATTCATTACAGGAGGGGGCGTTCAATCGAGAACCAGTGGTATTGAAGGAATAAGTCAAAGCTGCACTGAAGGAATTGGCAAAGAACAAGGCTCCAGAATTGATGGGATACTCATTGAGATGTCTCAACAAATGGATGCTGTGCTGGAGGTACTTACTCATCTATGGGAGGAAATTTAGAAGACAGCTACCTGTCCAACTGACTGGAAGAGATCCATATTTGTACCCATCCCAAAGAAAGGTGATATTGCAGTATGTGGAAATTATCCAACAGTATCATTAATATAACATGCAAGTAAAATTTTGCTGAAGATAATTCAAAAATGGTTGCAGCAATATATTGACAGGGAACTTTCAGAATTTCAAGCTGGATTCAGAAGAGGACATGGCATGAGGGATATCATTGCTGATGTCAGATGGATCTTGGTTGAAAGCAAATACCAGAAAGATGTTTACTTGAATTTTATTGACTGTGAAAAGGTATTCAACTGCATGATGATAACAAATTATGGAAAACATCGAGAAGAATGGGAATTCCAGAACACTTAATTATGTGACCAGAAGGAAGCTATTATTTGAACAGAACAAGGGGATGGATAGTGCATGGTTTAAAATCAGGAAGGGTTGCATCATTTTCCCATACATATTCAATCTGTATGCTGAGCAAATAATCTGAGAAGCTGGGCTGTATGAAGAAGAACATGACATCAAGATTGGAGGGAGAGTCATCAACAACCTGGGATATGCAGATGACACAACCTTGCTTTCTGAAAGAGAAGATGACTTGCACCTACTGATGAAGATTAAAGACTACAGTCTTCAGTATGGATTGCACCTCAATATAAAGACAACAAAAATCTTCACAACTGGACCAATAAACAGCATCACTGTAAATGGAGAAAAGATTGAAGTTGTCAAAGATTTCATGTTACTTGGTTCCAGTCAACACCAATGGAAGCAGCAATCAAGATATCAGACAACGTATTGTACTGGGAAATTCTGCTGCAAAAGACCTGTTCCAAGTGCTGAAGAGCAAAGATGTCTCTTTGAAGACTAAGGTGCACCTAACCCAAGCCATGGTATTTCCAATCACTTCATATGCATGTGAAAGCTGGGCAATGAATAAGGAAGACCAAGGAAGAGTTGATGCTTTTCAGCTGTGTTGGTGAAGAATAATGAAAGTAACATGGACTGCCCAAAGAATGAACAAATCTGTCCTGGAATAAGTACAGCCAGAATGCTCCTTGGAAGTGAGAATGGCCAGACTTCATCTCACCTACTTTGGTAATGTTGTCAGAAGGGACCATTCCCTGGAGAAGGATATCATG